GGATTTTAAATTGTATATTTTCGTTTTGAAAAAATTGCCATCCGTAATTTAACGAATTAGTTGTACTTTTAGAAGTGATGCAACAAAAAATCCAGACATCTCTAATATTTTAATAAACTTTCATTTATAATATTTGTAGAATAAACAAAAACATTATCTAACATATCTTTTAACAATATAGTTTTTGTATTTCTATTATCTTCTGCAACCGTAGTGTTAAATATAATAAAAAATAGCTGTACAGCAACAATCCTTCTCCTCGTATTATTCTTACACATTTTATATTTACCACTTTTGTTTTAAATACGCTTTATAAAATCTGCATTTTGCAAAGAGGCGAGTCACATGTATCTGGATGGCTGAGAGCCGGCGGTCCAGCCGCGACCCTCGTCTCGGAGGCGATGCGAGGGTTCGTCTTTGGTTAGCGCCGTCAGTCTCGTATTAGGAATGTTCGATATTTAATTAAAGTGCGTTTTTGGCGATCCGGCTCCAGCGTGCCTCCGCTCCAGGCACAATTAAATTTTATTAGAGCCAATCGGAAGTTAAGCCCGTATTAAATAGACAAAGATAGCGTGTAGACAGCACCCCTACATTACTCGAATCTTTACGTAACTGAGCTATATAAATTGGTGTTTATTAAAAGATATAAAAAAAGGTTTAAACGATTTACAAAAGGAGAAGATTATCAATTCGTCTTTATTTTTTAAGTTATGCGATTATATCGTCAATTCTAAACATATTTAATGTTTTAGCAACCAATAGGGACTCCTATGTTGGTCGTATATTTATTTTTTCATTGTTTTTGTATGCAAAGCGAATAGTTGCTTTTTGCATAACGAAATCTACATATAAGCAGATACTTTCGTGTTCTAAATTTAAATATTTGCAATGTAATGTTTCTACGTAACATCTTGACGTCTATCGAAGTATTTAATCTAAGAAAAAGGAATAACAAAAATCTCTGTATGTTATTATTATTGTTTGATTTGTTAAATAGCAGAAGGAGACTTTGTACAAAAGTCGATTGCTTGGGTACCTCTGTCCCATTCGTGTTTCAACCGTGAAACAGTTGTGTTTGCATGGCTGTGTTTCGGTTTGAAGGATAGGATATGGTGTGAATTTACGGGGTATAGAGGAATAACACCTGAGTCCTCAGGAATAGCAACGCGTGGGGAGTATCATGGGCGAAACAGTATACTCTGTTATGTCCATGGTACTGCTCATGTCTATAGGCGACGGTTACCAATTTACATCAGGTGAGCCGTCAACTTGTTTTCCAATTCTAAGTTGTATAAAAAAAAATAGCGGAATCTTTCAATAGTAAAAAAAAATATTTACGATTGAAGTTGGTGATTTTTGGCGGAGCAAAATTTACTTGTTATTTATTGTTTCCAGATGATGTGAAAATTAATATCATACATACATAGATACATATCTGTCACGCCTGTCTCCTATTAGGGTAGGCAGAACAGTAGTAACAGTGGAACGCCAAATACTTTGATTCAAACAGACCACTTTCGTTTCCGTCACATTCATCAATCTTTTCATATACGTTCACCAGTTACGGATACTTTTAATTCGACCTTCTTCAGCATTTCGCCTACATCCGTCTACATCATATACCGGATATACATCCGTCTAGGGCGGCCTCTACCGATATTTGAATGAGATTTGGCCATTTGAAAGTATTACGAATTCTTCTTTTATCCATCCTCTTCAACGCAACATTCCCTTTTCGATTTTTCTCATTACATCGTCTGTCAGTCCACACTTCTCTTCGATCACACTATTTCCTAAAAAAAAATTTATGCCCATAGATAATGTCCAAAACTTAGAGCTCTACCTACAAGAGCGTAGCTCTTAAATAGGATAGATAGGTAATGTCATCGAATTATTCATAGAATGAAAATCAACTAATACCAATAAAAACTGTGCTTTTTATCCCAAATACGTACACCACAGTTGTATGAGTAAACTATTTGAAATAATGTGTGGTGCGTTGTTGGCGACAGCGGGAGTCCGGAGGCGTGCCGCGCCTCGCCGCGACATCGTTTTCGCGTGGCCGCGTCGCCCGCCGTCGCTCGGGACTGCTCGCTTACTTTTTGCTGCGAGCGACCCTTGGGTGGTCCTTTATACCCCATATCATCCACCTACATGATGACAGATCTATGTTACTTTTTGTCCGCAGTTGCGGGAGGTTTTTATCAGCAGCAACTGTCGACGACACGTTAATGGCTATGAATAATTTTTGCAAAATACTTCACGAGTGTGTGCACAATGAACTCCCTGATATTTTTTCTACATTTGCAGTCTTTGAATTTTATTTGTGCCACTAGCTTTTTCCCCACTACTTACACACACACACTACTACACAAGTAATGCCAATAAAGTAACCCGCTTCTAGATACCGTCTCAAGATGAAACATACACCAAAATTTTCAATTAGACCATAATTGTTAAATCCGCCTCTAATTTCATGCAGTAGTCTTGCGGGACGCCGGAACAAACATGCAGACAGGCGGACAAAACTCGTAAAACTTATGATTTTATAGCTATTTTTTATTTATATTATTGGTATTTTATTGTTAATATTAAAACACTTGATATAAATTTTTCTTATATACCTCCCGTGTAATATGTAGTTTTTTTTATATTACAACTTTATTATATTAGTAAGATTCCTTAATTCCAATGACAGGATATAAAAAGAAATCATGAAAAGAATGTATAAAATATGGGAATAAAAGACGAAATTTAAAAATGATTATTCCCTTTATCTGATGATAAAGTGGAACACTACTGATTTTCGTAGTTGTCACAAAGCAAGCGTTCCTTTAGATGAAAATGAAAGAATAAATAATGATGAATGTAGATTAGAGTGGATGTCTCCAGGCTGCAACACCGTACGGCGACTGTCGCGTAGCTTCCTTAATTTGTTGGTGCACGCAAACAGCGTTCACTTCAACTGATAAAAAGTGTTTGCACACGTAATTGAATGCGAAATGAATTGCGATCAAAGGTGGGTCGGAGCCCCGAGCCGCCCACGTTACAGCCGAGCGATGCCGGCGCGCGGCGCAGCACCTACACCGACACACAGCTCTTTTTACGATGTTTTAATTTATTTGTAAAAGACGCGCGGCGCCGAGGCGTGCGGGCCCCGGGCTACGGGCCCCGTCCGATCCCGACGGCTTAGCGTTCAAAGAAACGTTAAAGCGCCACCCTCGTTTTCCCGAATTTTTCTCTTTATGTATACGTCATCTCGCTTTGGATAATATTGCCAGTCATATTTCACAGACAAAGGTAACAATAGGATAATAAAGTGCGGTCATAATCCGGCAACACAAAGGTGTGAAATGATGGCCGGCAGGCGAGTCGCGGTCGCGGGGCGCGGAGCACGGGCGCTCGCGGGAACAACTCACCAACGAAATGCGAACACATCAACTTTCTTTACATATATGTATAGATAGATTAAGAAAAACTGGAACTCATTTACAGGACATTCCTGTATAGCGTATGTAGGTGTATGTTTTAGAAAATTCCCTCTTATTCATATTTACTTCAAGAGATAAGATCGCGAACTTTCTGACTCTTTCGGGATTAATCTGGTATCAAGAACACTAACAACACCGCTTTTAATCCGATGAATTTTATTTAAAACTAGGATCACGTTAATAAAGTACTCCTGACCTGACATCGTTTAGTTGTCTGTCGTGGTGATTGCAATATTATTGTGAACCAATTGATAATAAAACCGATGTTCGGACCAGTCTACGCTTACTCCACATACACCCGTTAACGTCGTAATTAAACTTTGATATGGGAGTGCTGGTGTCCTGAAGCTATTAGGTAGTGGAGTGCATTTGATATGTGAATGGTAGCTGATCGCCCTCGTACGAGTATTCCAATATCAATTTTATATAGCGGACACAAGACGCACAGTGGCGTGGAGAGCCCTCGGTCACATTGCAGGGCCATCGGCGACCCGCGTCAAGGGGCGACAGCTGTCACATTGGGAATCACTTGCATCGCGCGCTCCATTAAATTATGATGAAGTCCAAATCGCGCGCTCCCGGCTCCAGCGTCATGGTGACGAGTGGCCGCCGCGTCGTGTCCAGCGATTCACCTTCACGAGTCGATTGCCGCGATACGTATCACTCGAGCCACTCTACTCATGATTTCATATTTTTTATCGCTGCCTAATGGCAATTCATAATTTAATTGAATGGCTTAGTAATTGGTGGTTCAATTCTGACATATTATAGATGAGAATATTAAGCAAATTGTTTTTATTGTAATTCGAAATTTTCATGCAACAACAAATGCATACGACCACTGACTCCGATGCTACAAGAGTCATCAGGCTGATTTTACGCTTCGTTGTTACTCTTTTATTGTATAAAAACAATATAATTTAAGGTTTTTCTCCGCAAACATTTAGTTTCACCTTCTAGTGAGTAAATAACTAGATATTCATTTGTTTTCTCTACAATCATTCATTATTATCTACAATATATACAAAAATTAACATTACAACTAGACAATATCAGTATATAACAAATATTTAATGAAAAACCAACAACCGAATTAATTATTTTTGTAATTTTAGTCTGTCTATATTTATTCCGGCATCGGATAAAAATTGGTGCACCAAATTTAACGTAGTTTATAGGTGTACTTAAAACCTAGCGTATATTTTCCCTTGACACATCACCTAGAGGTGCTCTATTGAATTGGTCTTTCTACTTCCAAAATTCACGCGTACAAAATCATGAACAAAAACTACGAGTAGTCAAAAATACAAATGTAAGAATTAAGTACAATGAGCAATCGCTAAAGTGGTCATTTACACGTAGGTCCGCGGGCAACCAATGGCTGTGGATACTGTTTACCAGTACAGATCATTTTTAAAACATATTAGTGACTAATGAAAAAATCGCATGCCCAATACTTGTGTATATAAAGTATGTAATACTAATAGAATGAACTGTATGCGTTTACAGGACCTCCCGGGCCACCCGGCAAGAGAGGCAAGAAGGGCAAGAAAGGAGACCCCGGCGAACCAGGCCCACCGGTAAGTCCACCTTCACTGTCTCCGTGCATGCTCCGCTCCAAACATTTTTCTTTTTTTTTATGCAATTTAGAATGGCATACAACCTAATGGCCCACCTGATGGAAAGTGGTAATCGTCGCCTGTAGACCTGAACAATACCATGGACATAACAGAGTACACTATGTCGCCCATGATACCTGTCGTGCGTTGCCATTCCAGAGAACTAAGAATTTTGTATGTATACAACACTTCCGCGTGAAGAGATAGAGAATATTAGTAATTGGCTTTATCGGCTACATTGGTAGCAGGCTGTCCCTATCAGGTCGGCCTCCACGCGGTCCCCCTGGAAACCATCGTGATTAATACTTGTGCAATGGAGTAACTGACCTGCTTTCCTCCTCAGTCATTATCGTCACTGGTGCCTCGCCAGCGTATAATATAATTCTATAGTTAGGAATTTTTAACAGTTTATAGTAAAAAAAAATATATCTAAACAGCATTAAAAAACAAAATATAATATAAATAACAGTCACGATAACTATTACACAGGGGGTATCATGGGCGAAACAATATACTCTGTTATGTCCATGGTACTGCTCATGTCTATAGGCAACGGTTACCACTTTCCATCATGTGGGCTGTCAGCGTGTTTGCCATTCTAAGTTGTATAAAAAAAATATCAGGGTTGTAGTTACACATGACATGTTTGCCAACACTATTGTATATTGTACAAGACAAAAGGAATTTATTAATTGTTCAATGTTCAAAGACGGGCTGTAAAAACTGTCGACGATTCCAAGCTTACAGGCGGCATCGAGTCCTTAAATCTAAGGCCGAGACTGCCTCCCTTTGTGTGTAATACCGCTTGTATAACGGATCTGTCCTATCCATAGACTACTACAGTGACCGTTTACCATCAGACGGGCTGTATGCTTGTTTGCCTTACATTTGTGATATAAAAAAAATAAATTATAAAGCATAAAACCAAAATATAACAAGGAACGATGTCGTATTTATAACATGTAGGTAACTACATAGTTATGTTGCCATTCCGCCTTCATAGACATGTATTCAATACTTGTACTTACTTAACATTCTTAATTTTTATTGAGTTACATTTTCTAAGATTTTTTTAAATATTTTGTTTAATAATATAAAATAAACATAGAATTTATTATTTATACAAGGAAGTAGGTACATAATGTTATCTGTTTTCTTTTTTATTTTATTTTTGTTTGTTTCGTTTCCAGGGTTTAACTGGGGCGGCAGGAAAAAATGGATTTCCGGTATTTAATTGTTAAATTTATTATTTTCTTATTTTTTATCAACTTTTTTACTTTCAAAAATGTATAATCCCTACTGACAATTCTTTATTCATCACCTCTACTTTCATTCTTGCGCGCCATCTATAATGGAAATATAATATTAAGAAATAATAAAGTGATTAGGTACTTTAATTACTATCATAGCACTTTATGATGAAGAACTTATACCGAGAGATGTCGCATCGGTAACAAATTATAGAGGGCGACGTTAATTAATTGCATATTTCCCCACATCTACTCCAATCTCTCTTGTTTTTCATGTTCAGTACTATTTTTCTATGGTGTGTTGTACCCAGATGTGACGTTTCAGGGGAGCAAAGGCGAAAAAGGCGAGCGAGGTTTCATGGTAAGATCCGGGTGTATCCGGGCGAATTACCTAGTGTTATAGCTACACCCCGGTCCCCGGTCCCCGCCCCTCGCCCCTCGCCCCCGGCCTTGCCTGTCTGTAGTGTGTTCGGTGTCTACTAACCGAGCTCTTCAGCTCTTTACAACTTTTTATAAACAAATTAAGTCACTTTCTGAGTTACTAGGAGTTGCAACGTCATCGACTTACGAGTGCAAACCTGCTAAATCTAATTGTGCTATCGTCTAGTCGGATACGAGCGTGATAATAGACCGACCGCTGAGTAAAAACAACACGCTTTCCTCGTGCCCATATCAACGCGACGCTTGTTTGGTTAACTTTATATGCTTCATGTAATATATATTACCGATATATACACCGAGTTCAGAGCTGGAGAACAAAATGAAAACCGGACCAATGCGATATCAATGTATTGGTTGTAAAAAGAAAACTCGCAATCGGTGCAGGTTTCCTAATTTTTCACATAATTAATACGCAAGAGAGTAATAAAAAGATTATAAATGATCAAATTTTAATAATTAAATCTATTGACTCAAAGAATATAAAACACAATTAGTGAAAAACAAATAGAATCAAACGCACGCTATGAAATTCCGTTTACAAAATTTAAAATGTTTCATTATATCTCATTCTTCTTACAATGCTACTTTATTTGTTTACTAGCTATTGCCCGCGACTTCGTCCGCGTTTCCGTCGTTTTTCGTAAAATAAGTAGCCTATGTCCTTCCTCACGGTTCAGTGGTTTTGATGTAACAAACACATTTCCCTTCACTGCTCTGCTCCAATTGATCGTAGCGTGATGAAAAGTATACTATAACCTGCCCGGGAGTGTGAAGAATAATTGTACTAAGTTTCGTTAAAATCCATCGAGTAGTTTTTGTTTCTATAACGAACATACAGACAGACAGACAGACAAAAATTTTACTGATTGCATTTTTGGCATCAGTATCGATCACTAATCACCGCCTGATAGTTATTTTGGGAATATATTTCATGTACAGAATTGACCTCTCTACAGATTTATTATGAGTGTAGAAGATATTTTATGTAAGTGTATCATTCTATAAGGAAAACCGGGAAACTGTTTCCAGACTGAAAACCATGAGTTTCCATTCATTTCATTTGTTTTGTTCCTTTTGAAACAAATTAATCGTGCTAGAGTATGCAAGATTGTGAACACAAGCTACACATTGTACACAGTGTTACCTCAGTATTTATATAAATAAAGTTGTAAAGATGCTGCAGACTCCGCGCCCCGAGCCTCTGCCCGCCCACTCTCACAACACACTAACTTGGCGCCTTCCAAATAATATGCGTGTCTTACCTTACTTACCGATTTTATACTGCGTAGTTTATTTTTATACTAATATAATTGAAAAACCTACACTGACAGCACAGGAAGTGCTTACGTCGTAAATATTATGTATTCACTAATGTTGTATTCAAAGAGTATACTACTATGTATGTTTATAACCAAAAACCCATTCATATCAAATTCTCCCATAGATTATACTATTGACTGCTTACTATTGGTCGTAACTATTGGTTTTCTAAGGTTGATGTTTCCTTCCTTGCTAGTATCTAAAACTATAGCTTCTCCTGACACTGGCAATTGTATTTTTATTCATACAACACTTGAAACACTATGTCTATTTACTATCTACTTTTACACACTTACGAGTACAGCCTGAGACGAGACTCCCTGTCGCAACACTAATTATTTAAATTAATATAATATTACATCACGGTCTCCGCTCGTTGTCTAGAAACGTCATTTTAACCGCATGCAAAGATCCTTAATAACACAATTTGCATCCAATGTTGTCTACTTGATATAATTTTCAAGCACGTTCCCCTGAACCTTTACCTTACTTGTAGAACCCTATTAGAATGAAGTGCCAATACATTTGCCACTTTATATTTAACGAGTGCTTGAATAATGAACATTACCTACTATCATCCGCAGGGTCCCATCGGGTTGGATGGACCGAAAGGAGATCCGGTGAGTTGATTCATCAATTTTATTATTGCGTTACATTTTAATACTCTTTTATCTATATTATCAATGAATGGTTTTATTTTAGACATTAAATACTGATTCATGAAGATAAATCCTTGTTACAGAACTAGTATTATAAGAATAAATGCGTTTATTAGTAAACATGTTTAAGAGGTCGTGGGTACGAAGTGAAACTTATGCCATTGTAAAAGAATTCAACTGATGTTTAACAGATCCACAACCTTACAATTTAAATATATTTGTATTAACGCGACTTACCAATTCATGCGTCCATATTGGTCGACGTTCGATCAACAACTGTCAACTGCTGGTCGTTACCTCTACGTTTTATTGGATATTTTAGTTGGTAAATAATAATTACGGAAACGTCAAGTCACTATTTTGCAGTTAAATCAAATCAGCAACGGTGGCACTTGACCAACAGTTACGTTATAATACAAATATAATAAAATATTGGTATACTAAATGTAAAGATGCTAAAACTTGTTTAGATGTTTGTAAGACACAGGTTCGGGCTTTAAACGCTCGAACAAAGCACCTAGATGCAGTTATAAAATGAAACACTTTTATAGTCATATATCAAACGTCAAGAACCATCAGCAACGAAGACTGTGAAAGCAACGAGTAATTTTTTTCCACCTATATATTCCAGGGTCGACCGGGGGACAAGGGGCAAAAAGGTGAACACGGCAGTCCTGGATTCGATGTATTCTCAGCGGTCAAGGTGAATATTTGAACATCATTGATATATCTATTATTTAGTATTTCATAAAGATATAAGTGAAGTGACGTCGTCACGTAAATTAATGTACCTATTTATAAATAAGTTACTGTTTATTACTTTAAATTATAAATTACCACAATTGCAGGGTGTAAAAAGATCAGTGGACAACTTTAAAATAAGTCCGTACACGACAGCGGAGATCATAGCCGTGAAGGTACCACATTACTGTCCGCTTGTTGTGTCGCCAGCCCTCGTCCCGTAGTTAGGCATCGTTTTGTCGTATATGCTTCTACGAGTCTGTTTTTTTCGTACTTAGGACGTAATGAAGAGTCCAAACGGAACGTCAGCTTTACGATTAATTTGCGCCTCTTTTTTTGAAAGCATTTAAACAATTCGAATAACCGACACATATCAGATACGATATTTTTTATTTTAAACTATTTTAACTTGTAAATACTAATAACTATGTAAATATTTTTTTTAAACCAAACATGATGCATCATTAATGTTTTATTTCTATATATCTATCTGATAATTGTTGGTTGGTATTTTATTATGTATTTATGTGTTAGTAGTTAGTAAAGCCTCAGTGCCTCACATCTGCCATGCCATGCCAACGCCGTCTGCCATCTTCATACAGCACAGAGACAATTAGAAGCCTTTTAGTAATGAGCAGATTTTCTAAAGATTTATTAAAAGAGAAACAAAATACAAAACAGCCATTATTTGTCAATAAGTAACAGGAAAGAAATATATGTAAAATATGACTTATATTGGATTATATTATAGGTACTTTGTAATATCGATTAGGTATATTATATACAAGTATATACCTTAAAGGAATATATGTGAAAATCCTCGATACGGGTGCTTTAATTAAACTATACAGTATAATAAAAATGCAGTAATTGATACCGTAAATACCAATTTTTATATTTAACCATGTTTAAAAATTTCAAACTACCGTTGTAAATTTCAAAAGATCTCAAGCTCTCAAGTCAAATAGCCAATAGCCAAGTCTTAAGTTTGTATATCATAATAGGTCAATCAAATCTGATAATACACCAGTAATCAAAAATGTATTGAAATACAGTCCTGTTTAGTGTTTTCGTATCTGACCTATCAAATAGACAACCGTTATATACGAGTAGACAATAGAGTCTCACCCTGTTAAAAACAAATTCAACATAGAGAATTTTGTGACTTTATCGACTGAACTTTAAAATTATACAACCATGCTAATTGTATGGATCAGTATAGTGTATAGTACCGCGTAACGCATACGGCGCGTGGCGCGTGGCGCGTGGCGCGTGGCGCGTGGCGCGATGTGGCGAGGCTGGCATGTCACATGGCTCGTGTGCTGTTGTACTTACTAGACGAACTGTATGTACATAGGGCCTGCAGGCGGCCGGACACAACATCTCCGCGCAAACCATCATACAGCTCAAGGTGAGTGCCACCTGCCGCCGCTTGCCCTCCCAAGCAACACATACACACCTCTACTCTGCTTTTCAACTGTATATTTTTAGCAAGGAGAATGTTAATAAAGCTGTATTTTATCCTTATGCTATACGTATTTGTTGTGAGTTACAGTAACAGTAGTGTCGACTTAGAAGTGCACGTTGTGAAATCTCCTATATACATTATGTAGGTGGAGTCATATTATTTATATATTATTCTTACTTTCTTGACTAAAGCATTTTTTTTTCTAATTTAACAAACAGAGAATATATAGATATTTAATTAAAAAATATTACTAATATCACCAGGATATTATTTGATACAGTAAATTATTTGACTATATACATGTAAATTTACTTTATAAATTATATAAAAAAACTGTCTAGTTTCATGCAAATTCTTCTCCGCATATAACATTCCAACTGTACCACTAAATAATGGTAGAATCATAATATATCAACATTATAAATCAAGTTTATTAAAGATTGTTTCTATTATATTTTGTTCTAACATGATTGTTTTTAGGGTGAACCCGGCGAGCCGGGTCCCCCTGGCCCCGCAGGCCCGCAGGGTCCGGAGGGATTGCCAGGCCACGACGGGCGGACAGGACCCGCGGGCACCGCCGGCCCGCCCGGCCCCGCCGGTCCTTCTGGCCCGCCTGGCGCCATAGGACCTATCGGTCCAATTGGACCTTCTGGACCTAAGGTAATTTATGCTCCTTACTAACTTAAAACATTATATGTACATTGATCTCCATATATTGCCTCCAACTTTTTCAAATTAAATAAAAAAGAAATTAATATAATAATAAATTAATATAATTGGCACTTATGAACAATACAAACCATAATTTAGCTATGGACTATGGAGATTGTAAAACACCATGTTCCAGCATTAATATTTATTTACAGTTATAAATTATGCGTGTATTTCTATTTTTTTTTTTTAATATAATCTCCGTGTATACAGGGCGACAAAGGCGACAAGGGCGAGCGCGGCTTCACGACGACGCTGAAGGGCGACGCATTCCCCACCGGCATCATCGAAGGCCCGCCGGGTCCGCCGGGCCCGCCCGGTAACTGCCCGCTTAATTTATACTAGCTCCGTGACCGCCGGAACCGCGCCGACCCGGCATGCTTGTCGTTCCTGATATCTAGCTATAACAAGAACCAACAAACTTTATTATTTTTTAAGATGGATTCTAAACTCTTTTCAAAATTTTTGATATAATTTATATTTATAATATTGATTAATATTTTCCAAATGCAAAAGAACAAGCAAACACATCTATACATACGTTTGTATTCTCTAGTAAGTGTTTGTAGTTATATAGTAGTCGACTGATTTCGTATAAAGTTTAATTTCCTCTTAACACCATTATTTTTGTTGGTTCTTGTTAACAAGGCTTATTTTTCAATAATACACCTAACTGCGGTTAGCAAGACATACATTTGAAAATGATTATTTTATCATATTTTGAAAAATGAAGAATTAACACCGCCGCTGAGATTTAGTAATCATTTAAAAATAACTTGAGTAGATCTTATATTTGATACAAATATATGGCATATTTGAGTATCTTTAATAGACAAAACTCTAAAATAACTGTAAAGATTATAAGAAGTACAGATATTTTATTAGCATAATTGGATTTTATTGCATATGTTGGATATTAAAGGATGAATGTTATAGGAAAATTTATCAATAAGTTTTAGGTATGTGTAAAATATAAAATGGTAAAGAGCAAGTTACAATTCAGTCAGTACGGTACGAATATGGAAGACTACAGATCCTAGAGAAGGCAACACTGATCTATTATGATTACATAAATCACACTGTACTCTCTGAGGACTGTCAAATCTGGTCTGATCTGACTAAACTAATAAAGCCAAATATAGATTCAGTTAATTGTACAGATGATCAGAGATATTTATGATTACGGAACTTGACAACAGTTTTCATTTTCGAATGTATACTTCTTGTTAACTAACACCGGCACCAAATAACAACAAAGCTGTTGTGCTTAAATTAAAATATTCAGTAAGTAGACGGAAAGGTGTAGTTGTAGTTGGTTGTTTGCCATTTGTTATTAATGTACATAGATAGACATGTAGTGTAGAAGTCGTAGTGGTTTATTCTTTAAATAAGCTTTTACTAAATAAATGGTATGGATGAGTAGTATTTTCAAACACAAGGGTTTAAATGTCATCAAGGAGTTTGTTAAACCTGAAAGTCTAGATATGCAATTGAATATTTATACCATGAGAGATATCTTTATTCACATAGAAATAAAGAAAATTATAATTTGTTCTACGCTCTACCGTCAGTGGACGCTGAGATTCCTCATAACCCCTATATTATGGGAGAAGGATATAATACTGATATATTGTTAACAAATAAATAAATAAATATTGTTACTGACGTACACCGGATGGTTCGTCTTAGGGTTTCACTTCAAATTCTCCTTCTCCTACGTCAAAGTACTATATGCTTCGTTCTCCTAATCGCTCGTTAGAGTTCTGGAGAAAAGTGAAGGGAATGGTTTTAGAAAATATTATATATTCAATGACCAGCACTCGGAATATGATTTTTCCTCTAAAAATCAATACGCAACTCAGTATCCGTAAAGTGAACAGCGCGCTGCGGTGAGGGTGTAGGGCGTAGCGAGTGAGGCGAGGCGCAGAGTGCAGGTGGCGACAATGGTGTGGTTGGTGGTTGAAGGAGCGGAGGGCGCGCGCGGGGAGCGCGGCGAGGCGGGCGCGGCGGGGCCGGCCGGCCCGCCCGGCGACAAGGGCGCGCGCGGCAAGCGCGGCAAGCGGGTAACTACGCGGGTAACCGCGCCGGCATCCACCCGCTCATCATCTCCTACTTCCTTCGCCCGCCATCTCTCTCTATTTCTAAAAAGCGACTCTGTACGAGATCTTCAGACGAAGCGACATTCTATTAACGTTGTCACCGTTGAAAAGTACCGAAACGTATGTTCCTCGCCAAGAATTCTAGGAGTCGCGCGAATCTGCAGCCTCTATTCTATTCTATGTTGAGGTTTTGCAGCGACGACATCGCTAGTAGAATTTCGACTTGTCATCGCGAGCCTCATTTCTATTTCTGTTTCTAAAAGGCGAAACTATAGAAAACTGACCGTCTGGAAGCTCCCTGTTGACTTTAAACTGCATGAAGCATGTGCGCGCACGGTGTACGCTAGTGACTGAACCCCGCGTTGAATGTTTCTGGGGCCAAATGAATTGTGGTACAAATGACAACCGCGGACACGTTTCGCTTCAATTAATAGATTAACAGGCTTTATTATTGACGTTTGCGGGTTGCGGCTGCTCTGTCGTGTTCGTAGACATTAGAAAAGCTTCGAAGCCCGAACTCACCACGCCACACTTGCTTCGAAAAAGGTAAATTACACAATTAACATTTTTTATTAACACTTTGTATGTAGATAGCGAGTTTAATGTAGTCTCGTAGTATACATTTCTTTTTGGACATAAAATTAACTTGCCCCTTAAATAAGTGATGGAGTAGATATCTTTTTGCTACTACATACGTGTATAGGAAGAGTGAGCAATATCAAACATCTTAATCTTTCTCATGCGTGTAGTAACGAAAACGTATCTACGAATAGATATATTTGCTACTTGTGTGGGGAGGTAATATAATAGAAAATAATACTTCTTAAATGCATTTATAATGTCAAATACTGACTGGTGACTTACTCAATGTGTAACATATTGTGTGTTAGGTAAACCTGGCGAGCCTGGCCCCCGCGGTCCCCCAGGCATAGATGGCTCCCCTGGCCTCTCGGGCGTGCAAGGTCCACCCGGCAAGCCGGTAACAACATATCATTGTTATTATTATTATTATTATAGTAAACTTTTGTTTAAGCTCAAATTACAGCATTTAACGAGCTGTTTAATATGTAAAGCTTATTTGCCATTCTAAGTGTCAGAAAAAAATAGACTTTTGCGTAACGAAAACTGCCGAAGTCGGTATATATAGCAAGTAATCAACGCAGTGTTATCAGATTGGGTAATGCGATTCATTATTTTATATAAATAAAATTCTGTTTGAGAAATTTATTTATATAAAATAATGAATCAATTTTGGGCTTGGAGAAATTTGGACACTTTTCTGGCAGTTTTTATATTTGTAAATTCTATAGTGATACAATAAAATATACACATGAAGGTAACAAAACAATAAGCAAGAGAAGTTAAGCGAAAGGAAGGGTACTTTGCTGTTACATAGCAAAACATGATTGGGTAAAGGAAATCATTTCGATTCAGAGAAAAAATAATTGATATTTGGGTAAAAATCAAAAAGTAGCATTTGGCAACCCTGCGTGTAACGTATTTTATTTAATAATTTTCTGATGACAGAAATGAACCATGAAAAAAATAGTACAAAGAATCTTAATATAATTGCAGGGTGAAATGGGTCCAAAAGGGTCAAAAGGCGAGTACGGTGACATGGGCTCGCCGGGCATGCTGGGCGCGCCCGGGTTGCCCGGCCCGCCCGGCTACCCCGGCCTCAAGGGTGAGAAGGGGGACAAGGGCGACTCGGTGAGTAACCGATTCATGTCGTTACGCACACTATGTTCATACACGTATCTATTTACAACTATTATAAAAGAAAGCAAACAACCGTAAAGATAGTTCCTGTTATGTAGAACATTATTTCCGCAGAATTGATTTTTTTCATATGAAACTTTATTTACGCTCTAACATTAAAAGAGCTTATATCTAAAAACAGCGACGGATAAGGTACCATAAATGGCATAGGGTGTTCTGTGACGTCCGTAGTGTTGTTCATGTCGGTCATACCTGATGCATCATCGTGACATAGTCGACAAGAAGCATTTTTTTGCATTCCAAATTGTATAAAAAAATGTTACTATGAAAATAAGTTTTGAACATTTCCCTGTTTTTCCTGATATTACCTATGTTCCTAATATGTGGTAATGTAGTTTTGTGAATACCACCACTTGTCCTTCCCAACTGCCCGTGTCCGCTCCACGCACACTGCGCTGCGCACAAGTAACGTATCGCTGGGGTTTCGTATGTTGCATGTTCTCGGCGACGTCGCGGCGGCGGTTCCCGACCAGAAGTACAGAAAGCTGAGGAGAAGACAGGTGACTATATAATGCTACCAACCTTTACCATGCTTAGTGCTCACATCGGACTAGAAGTTCTCCTATGTCTTAAGTTCAATACACAAAAATTAAAAAAAAATAATTAAATTGTTTCGGAGATTAGCGTGAGCAAACGTCGTGACACGAAATGTTTACGAGTATATATTAAGATTGACCTAATTATGTAAATTTCATAAATTACTCACAACCAAAATTGTTTGATTAATAAATAAACTGAGTGATATATCGTAACTGCCACGGACTCGGAAAAGCGGCTTGTTTAGGTGAAATCCACGGGGAATAGCTAACTATCAGCAGACGCAAAAAAAGAACACTAACCAAGCCACTGCTCTGCAGTGAGGTAATAATAAACTGATATCCTCCTCTTACGAGAAGGCTTGCCCAGTGACCAACTAGTTGCCCGATGCCGAACTGTGGGATATCAGTGTATTCGTCAAATTATTATGAGGATAGTAACAAATAATGGACTAAAGCCCGCGTCCTGTTAATGAATTGTTAATCTTTATGCCCACTGTTGAACTTGCAGGGAGACGGCACTGGATACGAGCTGTACGGACATGAAATTGTAAGTTTAAGTTTTAATTATTTTTATACAATTAAACAAATGATATCATAGATAAATAATAATCGGGTACCTATTAATATAAATATATAAGCAGAAAAACTATTCACTGATAAAATTTCTAAAATCTGTCTTTGGAACGAGAGGTAATAATGTAAGGAAGACTTAAACTAGAGAAATGGCAGTAAAGTTACTTTGATCGCGGAGGCATGACACATTAAACCTCAGGGATGAATACACATGCCGGAGGTCCTCCAGCGTCGTTTTGCCTCAAGGGTATCAATATACGCTGTGCTAACCATTCCTACAGTGGGTAGCAAACGAGTTAATTGTTTGTCATTTCAAGTTACTATTAAAACTATAATTGTCGTTACTAAAACTTTCATATACTACTACTGCTAATTTGCCACTTTACATTTGAACAGGTAAGTGCAGTTATATATATATATATATATATATATATATATATATATATATATATATATATATATTTTTTATTGCACTTGTAAATTACACTGTTAATAAAAAAGTCAGTGCTTTATTTTTATCTCATGCTACAGTGACAATCTTTTTATATCCGACGGACCTCATCACGCGTCTGAAATTGTATATAAAATGAAATATTTATTTGCCAAAACACTTTTACATGTATGATTGATGAGGATCTTACATATACTCTACGAATTACTCACTAGGCATGTAAACCTCTATCGTGTATTTCAGAAATGCGATTTAGCCATTTATAATACTAATAATACCATATCGGATATTTTTTTAGTAATTTTGGGTAAAAGATGTGTTGGAGAAATTTAAAAAAAATGTGTGTTGGATAAATATTTAGAGAAAAGTTATTTATTCCTTTTGTGCCAAATTGTTGCGTTTGCGCAGTAAGGAATATGTTTGTAAGTGTGATGAGTAAGAGAGCGCGTTGTGTGCAGATGATGGGCCCGCCGGGGTCGCCGGGCCCCGCGGGGCCGCCGGGCGTGGCGGGCCCGCCCGGCATCAAGGGCGACAAGGGCGAGCCCGGCGTGCGCGGGAAAGCGGTACGTTTATATCATTTGTTTTATAAACCTTAACAAGCTCGTTACAACGTGTTCGTACTAATAATCACTTTACCTATTTACAAATCTATTATATTACTATTCAATAGATATAATGATTTTGAGTAGAATATATCTACAAGTTTACAATTAGAATCAAATTTATTTTACGTTGATTATGTTAGTCTGAATTTTAGTACCATTGTTATTTACCAAATACTTAAAATTATTTTAATTTCATCTCTCCATGTTGAACAACAACTTACCTACTTCATGACAATATTTCAGGGTGAAAGAGGCGAAAAAGGAGACGCAGGTCCTATGGGATTACCGGTAACTATTAACATTTCTAGCTTTCTTAAATACGGCCTAAAATTGTAGCTCCATCTAACTGGGGACAGTTTCATTCAGATCCGTTTAAACATGATTGAGTAATAATGTTCAAACATCCAAACTAGGTGGAAAGGAATTGTTAGTAATGGAGTCAAATGTCTCCATCACCACCAATATACCCTATCAAGTCGATCTCCACGTGGTTCCCCATGGAAACCATCGTATTTAATTCTAATTGAATTCGTCAGGATAGGTTAACTGACCTGTTTTCATCCTCATCTGTCATCCGTCACTGGTGCCACGCCAGTGTTATCTCCCATTAAAAAAACATCCAAACTTTCACGTGTACGTGTTTCAATACGTCATGTTCATTGCATTTACACAACATCGTATATTACAGGGGCCAGTGGGCCTGCCGGGTGAGCCCGGCCGACCCGGCGACGTCGGCCCCAGGGTAAGTTCGTGCACACACTATAGAAGTTTTTCGAAATGTTGTAGTAATTAACTTAGTTTTTTTTTTCCATTAACACGCATTTTGCAGTATTTTATTAGAGTGACATTAATAACAATTAACCATCTAATACATCCAAGCGCCTACTGTACACGTGCATAACACCTCCCAGTGCGGCGTCATGACTCATGGTCTGCGACAGAAAGGAAATCATAAATTAAGGAATATTTTCATAGCCGATATGTTTCGATACTTTTTTTTTTTTTTTTTTATGAGCCTTAATCTCGCTACATTTTAAGCCAATTTCCAACGTTAAATTATTAAGCTATACATAGTTACATTACTGGTTTTCTTGGATTCTTACTAGAAAGCAGAATACCTCATCCCAGAAACGTAATACGCAATGCATTATGCATTTATGCAATTAAAAAGGCAAGATGCATAATTTTATAGATCAAATTTTAACTCTTTCATAATGATTACGTGGACTAATGGGGAAATTTTATTTTCAACTTTCATTTAGGTATACCTATACCATTGTTGAATTTCTTATTGGGATAATCCTGTTGCTAGACTATATGGTACTTGTTTGTTAACATGTTATATCGCATAAAGAGAAATTTGAAAGACAAAAGACCACACAGGCGAACTACTTGAGACCAACCAGAAGTAGAAAGTTTTTAAATTATGTTTAAATCGATAGAACTTATTGATTTGGCTTTACCTAGACAGTTTAGATACGGAGCCATGCACGTGTACAGAGAGGTGGCTCTCGCTAGTGGGTCGTTGTGTTCACTAACCCGGGTCGCGGTGTGGGCGCAGGAGAACCGCTGGCCGCCCGACTTCGCGTTCACGTAGTGACATGTGGCCGCCGCCGCCGCCGCCGCCGCCGCCGCCCGGCCACCACCCCCGCCGCCGGCGCCGCCTGCCCACTCTGTAAATTGTAATATTTGTACGTATTCCATTTAGCCTGTAACGGGATCTTAGTGTTAAGTACGTCGTAGTATAAGCAAGATGAGACGTTACCAAACTTAGCTGTAAGTGTTGCTACAGATATGAACAAAGATGATAATATTTTTCATTAATGTAATCTATAAAATCTGTAATTTCGATTCGCCAATGACTTGGATGTTTGACATAATTGTCACCACTGTCCACAATTGTTCGTGACAATCGTTTTCGATACAAACTAACAACAAACTATTACGTAGGTTAATTATCCGTGTATCGTTAAAACTTAAATAGCTACTAGTCTTACATACTTAAAAAGAAACAATCTCCGCCGCTTCACTATGAACTAGAGAATATCAGCTGCAAACATTACATATATACTAAAATTGCTACTGAAATCAATCAAGGAAACAAACAATGTTGAAACTAATTGATAGAAAAATATACCTGCTTAAAAATGCAGATAAATTAAAATAAGCTAAAATTAAAAATTATGTTTTAATAAATATATTTTTTTTTGCTAATGCAGATACTAATGTTTCCGCATAATAGATGAAAGATAATATGCAAATAAAGTATAGTCAGTTGTCAATCGTTAACTTTGTTGCAGAAATATTTAAAGAAAAATAAAATCGATTTGTTATAGAGCACTGGTGCTGTAAAAAGTTTGGTTAAAAATCTAAATTAACATCATAATGATGATAAATTTCCCCATACATTCGTGCTGCTGGCACATGGCTCTGGTTTTCAGCAATTCTAGTGCAGCTAGTTAGCAATAATAATTTGAACAGTTCACAATGGAGCGATGGATCGTATATTTGTAACTATTGTCTCGAATTGCACACTGTATAGCGATACTGTACAATACAATACTTACTTTTTGTACTCGATACCTTTAGAATATGTACCAACGATCAGAGTGACTATTTTTAAAGTATTTGTATATTTGGCAAATGATTCTTAAAGTGTAGAATGGGTGCCAAGTATTGTTGTAAGTGATACCTCACTAGGTACGTGTAAGTACGTATATATATATATATTACAATAAAACATTATCGAGCGACTTGTATAGATGTATAGTTATCATTAATTGTATGTGATATGAGAGTGTCGTTGAGTGGCGTGTACACTGTACACTGTACATATATCTACTATACATAGAACTACCGTTTGTATTGTAAGTATGTATGATCGATCGAGCGTCTCGTCATATCTTTCAATGTTATAACTACTCGAACTATAAGTATTTATTAAATTGCCCAAATTCTTAGATTATGCCTAATTGCCTGTTTATTATCATTCTATTTATTAATGAATATCATCTTTAATCCTGTGTAATATTATAATTATTGTGATTACCTATAAGGATTTACGTAGAGCCAGTACCGTTGCGCTTCGCTTGCTCGCCGCGGCGGCTGCAACTGTTGCAGCGGCGCCGGGGCTGGCTCTCTCGCGCCGCCGGCGGCCTGACACGCGCCGCTGCTCGCCATCACTAGACTCGCGTCTATCACGTCACGTCACGCCCCTCCCCCCTCCCCCCGCCACCTGTACATACCGGAAAGGATAATAGAAGACATAGTTGTCGAGCACGAATTAAGAGTGTGAGCGAGCGGTCACGGCGCCGGCGGCGCGCCTCGCTGCTGTAAGCGAATGACAATGTGCAGACCCGGGTGTTACCGTCCCGAGGGGGCGCCACGCGTGCCACGCGTGCCCCGCCGCACCGCACCGCGCCCGCCTCATGTATTAAAGATATTACCTATACCTGTACTGTACCTACATTAATGTTGACTCGTGCGTATTGACCTTTTATCATCGATTACTACTTATTGATCATTCTCTTGATGTATTATAATAATTATCTGTCGACTCGACACTGTAAAATAATCATACGTATTATCGAAAGCTCGAAACGCGACGAGACATCGTTGCTCCGACTCTTCTCGTCGCTTGTACAGCCTACGCTCTTTTAAAATTTTAACTTACAAAGTGAAAATTATAGAATAAATGTAATATGTAACTCCACTGTCATTATTTTTCAGTTTTTCTCACAATTTATAATAATCACTTAAATATAAATATTACGACTAAATTGTACCTATTTTTTACAAATAGCAATCGACGTAGCGCCGATGTCTCGGAGCGCTCGCGGAGATGAATCTCTTTACAAATGTACAAAAGATTATTGACGATTTTTAGGCTAGGACAGACCGCGAACTCTTCACCGCTGAAGACATATCGCGCTAGCTGCATCGGTGAAGAGGGACCTCTTTTTGTAATTAAGAGACATGCCATTGTTATTCTCAGTTCTAATACAACATTCTCACTTGTCCTTCTGAAGTAGTATGTCCACTAACTCAAAGTATACAACATACAGGCATTAGTAATACACGACTTTACTACATGAAACGACTGTTTTTGTTAACTTGAGACGGCCATTTCATTTGTTTATCATCATATTCAATAAATCATGTCGTGATTGTCAACATTAATCATAACAAAAATAAGATTTAACTATTTCGCATCATTTTACTGAACATTGTTTGTAATATAACAATACATTTAAAACAGTTCTATAATTTTGTAATGTACACGGAAACTTACTAATGCTTAACAGGCGTTTTAAAGGAGACTGCTTAGAGATAAAGAAATACAGGCATATAGGAAAGAGAACGAAATACCAATATATTATGATATGATGATGATGATAACACATGACAGGCAATACACGAGTGCATCAAGACCGAAGCTTAGTAATGTATCCGTGTACACAAGTTCTGAACAACGTTGTTTCATTGTTCATTGACCATAATTATACTAAACTAGTAGCTATTGCTAGTAAAATATTGGATCAAACAACAAATTTTTAACAAACTTATTAAATATACGTTTTAAAATATAAAATGCGAAGCAAATTGAAATTAATTTATTTAATTTTAAGTAATTCGAAATAAGATACATTTGTCTTTTAAACAACGATAAAACTGTGACATCAGTGGCGGACGAAACACGTCTAGAATTCAGAGGCGGCAAATCCGAATGAGACCCTTAGTACAAGAAATTCAAGTAATTTTACAAGCTTTTTATTCAGTTTAGCTTTGTATGTATAAATGTTAATATTTATTTAGTTAAAATCTTGCAAGTGAAATAAAAATTAGACTGAAATAAACATGCAAAGAATATGGATATGGATGAGGAAAATGGTGGCGTTTGGAGACCCCCTAGAACCAGAAATCCGAGGAGGTCCGCCTCCTCCGTTCCTCGTTAGTCCGCCACTGCATGAGTTTCCAATAAAAAAATGATGCGAACATTGTAGTATTTTTGTTTGTAAAGCTGACTTCGAACGATGTATACTTATTATGATCACGTCATAACAGTAAAATTCGTTATTTTTATGAACGCACTCCACATGCGAGCAACGTAAGCGTTCGGCCGCCATTTTGAGCGGCAAATAGCGCGGCAGCACGGCTCCCACGCGGCCACTCGTTCATAATATCATTTATCTATGATTTTATTTTTCCCTATATACTTACGCCACCCTACTTACCGCTCAACCCGAAGGCCAAACAATAAGTATAAAAACCGAACCGTAATGTCACGTCTCGCTGCTAATCAATATGCTGTTAAGGATTTATTTTTTTTATGAAAATCGAAAGTTGTCATTTGTACCATAATAATATACGTCAGGAGAGCATAAATTATTGTTGTTTACAAATTATTTTGAATGAAAATAAATATTTGCATGCTGTGCATATTAGTCTTTCTCTTTGAACTCAACCCTTCGTTCTGACCTTTTCGCCGCTCGTTCTCGCCGAAGTCACTCTCTGCGACTGGAACTTTTCATGGCGCTGCATCACTTGCATGACGACGATGACACGAAACCGTATGTACCTGTTACTCATTCAACCTTCAATTGTGTAAAGGCAACTATATCCTTCCCTGCTGGACGTGATGATGTTTCCAATTGGCACGTATGCGGTGCATGTTTGCATATATGAGTCGCGATAAGTTGTTCGGCAGCGCAGTGGTTGACATGTGTGGTTGTTCCGCAGGGCCCGCCCGGACTCGACGGCATGAAGGTGAGTGACGACGGCCGCGCCCGTCTCACCTGTCCCTACCGCGTGCTAGGGACAGGTGAGGCGGTCATCACATATATTTAGGATCTCAGAATCATTATTATTTATTGCCTCTATCATTATATACATACACAGTGTTTATTTATACATTATATGTTTTAATTGTTTGTGATGTGGTGTTCGCGTCATTTCATGGCTTTTGCTGAACCGTGGTGGGGCGCCGCAGGGAGCGCAAGGTGAGCCGGGCTCCAAGGGCGAGCGAGGAGACCCTGGACTGCCAGTATGTCGCACATTTTTTTTTTTTATTTTCATGCAAAACTCATTATATTACTAACTGCTTATTAATCATAGCTACTTACAAGTTTCAGTCAAATAAAATCATTAATGTCCCAAATTCTTCCGTTAACAGGGAACCGACGGGATTCCCGGACAAGAGGTTAGTTACAGCGCCTACCATGTTGTCTTGAATGAGAATATTTAGTAGGTACCCAATGTTACGACAAATAACATATATTTTCGCTCACTAGGGCCCGAAAGGAGACAAAGGCTATAAAGGAGAACCCGTAAGTAACGGAATGACGTCGCTTTATGCATCCACCTAATTTTCTCGTCATTCGATTCATAACGCATGTACTACTAATATGATGGGTATGAGTTTAACTGTGGGCTGTAGCGAATAGACTGGACAACACCGACTCGTGAAGCCGAACAACCTTCTCTAAGCGATAGAGGAGCCTTCCATTGAAATCGAACTATCGCGTTATCGATTTACCATTCAAATGTTCAATTAATTATTCTTCTTAAGTTGTACGGTTTCATGAACGTTCCCGGTGGGTTTCAACTCTTACCGTTAACATAATTGCAAGCCGTAACTTGCAGTCATTTTACATGGTCTCTATGGTATTTATTTGTAATAATTTTATACGATCGCTAATTATTTATTCGTTCAAATTTACTTATTTACTTTTTTTTCTTCTACAAGTAAATTCTTTATTATTTATTATAAATCATAAAGAAAAAATTAACTTACCTGTTAAATTTTTTAACATTTGAAATTTCGTCAAAAAGGTACCTAATGATACAATAAGTGAATCAGTGTAACGTTGGTCAGCCGTTTAGTGTGTGGTCGTGTTACGGGCTGCCGCTGCCTGGCTGCGGCTGGAGACCCACCAAGGTACCGCATAAACCACATTCCTTTATACTTATTTCATTCTAATTTTACCGGCGACTTCATCCTTGTGATCAAGATATATATGTAGGTTGACCAAAGTAAAAAATACAACGTTCTACACGTTATATCACTTTCATGACGACTGGTCGAACTGTTATCACTTATGGAGCCAGTTATGCAGAAAACAGCCACATCACATAGGTATCCATGACAAGTGAAAAAAATAATCATGTGGAGAAAGTAACAAAGAGCCTTAATAATTACTTTACCCATAAATATAAAAACATTCTTTACCTATGCGTTAGTCCCTTTTAATATGTTTTCCATTTATTTATTATTCCATTTGTTTAAATCGTGATTAATTCTAAAAACCAAGTTCAATTCAAAAAATAATAAACCTTTAAGGCTTCATTATAAATTTCAATAAAAACTTTACACAATACCCCCACATTATTCCTACACGCGAGCGCTAGCCGAAACGACAGTTTCGTTTACTCGTTTATAAAAATAAATGCTTTGCTTTTAGTTTTATGGTAAGCAAGTAATAATACGAGGTTTGCTAGGTGCTGTCTCAGAACAATAACAATACAAGTGAATGCTTGGTAGTGTCGTAACGTTGGTCAGCACCGTTTGAACAGTGTGTGGTTTTCATGTGGCGCGTGTCGTCGCGACCGCTCCTTGTGCCGGGACCCGGTGGGCAAGCGCGGGCGCAACGTATTTTTTTGGAGACAAGGGGGACAAGGGCGAGCAGGGCGTGCACACATGGCCGTATATATTTAAATTCTTGGACGCGCCGTGTTTCTTCTTTCGCTCGTTTTTTTCTTTGGCGACGACGGGCTGACCGCTGCCAAATATATTTGGAGATGGCTGCGGCTGGAGACCCACAATTTTAAATTAAATTTAAGGTCAAACACCGCATAAACCACATTCCTTTATACTTATTTCATTCTAATTTTACCGGCGACTTCATCCTTGTGATCAAGATATATATGTAGGTTGACCAAAGTAAAAAGTAGCCTGTGGCCTTCTCTGTCCCAAATACAACGTTCTACACGTTATATCACTTTCATGACGACTGGTCGAACTGTTATCACTTACATTATAAGTAAAAATTATAAAGTAACCGACAGAGACTGGAGCCAGTTATGCAGAAAACAGCCACATCACATAGGTATCCATGACATAGGTGTTTACTGCACAAGTGCTCTATGAACTCATTTTATTTGTCAATTGAATTCCTTGCGAAAAAAATATATAGAGGCTATATTTAATTGAAATAAGATGTCCATAATAAAGTAGCCACTACCCTTGTGAGAAAAGTGGAGAAAGTAACAAAGAGCCTTAATAATTACTTTACCCATAAATATAAAAACATTCTTTACCTATGCGTTAGCTCCCTTTTAATATGTTTTCCATTTATTTATTATTCCATTTGTTTAAATCGTGATTCCTTTCGTTAATTCTAAAAACCAAGTTCAATTCAAAAAATAATAAACCTTTAAGGCTTCATTATAAATTTCAATAAAAACTTTACACAATACCCCCACATTATTCCTACACGCGAGCGCTAGCCGAAACGACAGTTTCGTTTACTCGTTTATAAAAATAAATGCTTTGCTTTTAGTTTTATGGTAAGCAAGTAATAATACGAGGTTTGCTGGGTGCTGTCTCAGAACAATAACAATACAAGTAGAATGCTTGGTAGTGTCGTAACAAACTATCGTAGCCTAACATAATTTTGCTTAACGCCACTAATTGGAGCACCAGTGTTGACGAACGAGTACAACCTTCAAAGGAACTCTCCCGCATAACATAAACATGCGATGTTTTACTATAAAAAGAAGTTTCGTCAATGCGGGTATCCGGGTGTGCGAGGACATTCGCGACTTTCATTGAGCAAGTAAATGAACATAACAGTTTAGACGAAATGCCGAACCTATACAATTCATCGGTAGAATCTGACGGACGGTGCATAATAATACATGTCCAGTATTGTGTGTGTGTGTGTGTGTGTGTGTGTGAGTTTGTGTGTGTGTGTGTGTGTGTGTGTGTGCACGCGGTGCGGGCGGCAGGAGGCGGCGGCGGCGGGCCGCGACGAGTTCGGCGGCGCGGGCGGCGGCGCGGGCGCGGGCGACGCGGACGGCGACGCGTCCGACGAGGAGCCGGAGCCGGACGCGGGCGACGACTACGAGCGCGAGGACGAGCTGGACGCGCCGCGCGACTACGACGACTACACCGACAACGCGCACCACTCGCACCACCACGACTGACCGCCCGCCCGCACGCCTCCTCCACATCCGCTGCACCACTACACTACCTTCCTCTGCTAACTCTCCACTCTGTTTTTATTCGAAACCCATGCTCTTTACATTCTTATTTTCTTTATGGACATCTCTCTACGAAGTCTATTCTCTATAATCTTGTTTTTTCACTCTCAATCAAATTTCAAAATCCCTTTATGTTTATCAGTATTTTGTATATTCTTATTTCTGTAAAGTTAATGAAACATCTGTAGACTCCAAACTTGTTTCTGTAACAGCTCTCTGTAAATGTCCTATTCTCAATAGAGATTACCAACAACCTAACACTCTTACTCAATTACTCATTTAACAATATATATCTACTTAATTGTTTTTGCTATGACTTTACTTCTTTCTGGTCGGTGGTGGTTAATCCTTTAAACCCTCTAACAAACGAAGTAAGTTGGCGCTACTACAGCATGATTTTTTCTTAACTCTAGAATAGATAATTATTTAAATACCAATAACGTTTATATATGTATATTTTTACCTTATTATGTGCATAAGTGCAATCTTCACAACATTTATATACACAGCGGCATTTTCTAGCAATTAAATACCACTGCCAACAAATTTATGCGCTTGTCCCGTGCTCGAGCAATGAGAAACGCCAGTAGGTGTTGTCTCCTTTGCCTACCAAGTGTTAATACAAATTTTGACAAATGCAGGAAGCGGTACTGCAGTGGGTGCGACGGCGACTCGACGTCGACAACGATTTGCCGCTTTGAGACGGCGACGGCGCGTCATCATCGCAGCCACCTGAGCCCTGACCCTCCACTTGACTCCAGCCACCAGACGACAAACGTCAGTGATGCCGATCTCTTATAGACTCGCCAGTGTTCATATTGATCGAACAGAATTATAACTAGGTGTTTATGGAAATGACTGTTTAATTGTAAATACAAGTGAACCCACTTTCCATTGTATTCTGTACAAATTACTCGTAAAGTAGCTAAGCTGAAATATACAGCTGCTAGTGCGACATCGCCCATTGTATTAGTCTGTGTGTTGCTATTCGTAAGTATTTTTGTGTTGTATATATAGGTCTCGAAGAAAGTTTTAATGTTTATGCCAAAACGTTTAATTGTTCTAGCTGATAACGTACCTTTTTTAGTTTGTATAATTTTTATGAACTTTTGGTAATAAATAGGAAGTAAAATGTCATCATTAGAATCGATTCGTTGGCGAGTGTCTCTAGCGCTCATATATTGTGGTTCATTGTAGCAATAGATAGGTGCGTACTCGTATTTGTATTACTTTCGTAACTAAACTGCACCATAGCATCCTTTAAACATACATACGTATTTCTGCTGGCGATATCGCCGGTACAAGTCGCGCATGTGATCCTCGCTCATGTGACAGTTCATTACATTTGAACTTTTCTACGAGCGATGTCGCAAATAGAAGTACATACTCGTACGTAAATATCGTATTAAAAATAATCTATAAATAGCGCAGTGATGGGCACGCGGTCGCTTTGCGTAAGTGAAGTTCCGGATTCCATTCCCCAATTGGGCTAGTTTAAGATTTCCTGAATTGACCCGGAGCTAGGTGTAATGGGCTGTGCCCTCAGATGTCTGCTGCCTGCTTCCTAATAACATAGGATATCCTAACTTGAGAACCAGACAATTGGTGTGATTATATGGCACTTATTATTATTAATAAACATAATTATGACTAAAAAATAATGAATCAATCATTACCAAACCGTACCTCAAGAGACTCAGTACAGTAGAAAGCTCAATAATGAAAGTAGATATGAGGCCAGTCCTCCTAGACAAGTGGCAAACGTGTCTATCGACAGATACCTACGTGTGTATGAGATAGAACGAGAGAGCTACTAGAGTCTTGTTCTTTTTATGCGTCTGCTAAAGAAAATGTAACTACCGACAGAGACATTTGCCCCTTGTCAGAGAAGGCAAACCATTAAAATAAGCGACAAACGAATGTACTTGTAACCATATAAGTAACCGTATCCACAGATTACTTCCGCATGCATAACAGGAGACAACATCGTTGCCGCCTCGTTCTTTCTAACGCATGCATGCGCTCATATGAACATAAGGTATTATAAAATGTATTGTGATTCGCTAGCCACTTCATAGATGACCGTGCCCTTTGTTAGATCGCATAACATGCTACTATGTAGCAGGCGTTGTCAATTTTGTAAATAATTTATACCATAATGTGTCTAGTATAGTATAGAGGTAAATAGATTTTCCATAATATATAATTATATATAGATAAGACATGAAAGTATGTATTGAGTAATGCAGGTGGTGTGTGTTGCAATGTACCTGTGCTCGCCTACTTCTGGGTATTTATTTTTTGTAATTAAAAATATGCGACTGTATAAATTATTTTAATTGTAAATAAAATATAACTATTGTGAAATTTTTATTATCATAAACTGTTAATTTTATTTTATTCCCCACTCTTCGCGACCACTTCTTAATATTTCGTTGCCATATTGAAATTTACAATCCTACAATACTATAGGTATGAATTTTTATGCCACTTAGAAATACAAACAAGCTTACAGCCCACCTGATGGAAAATGGTAACCGTCGCCTATAGACATGAGCAGTACTAAGGACATATAGAGTATACTGTTTCGCCCATGATACCTTCCATGCATTGCACTTCCTGAGGACTAAGGTGTTATTCCTCTGTACCCTGTAAATTCACTGCCATATCCCACCCTTCAAACCGTAACACAGCCATGCAAACAGGACGATAGAACCACGAATAGGACAGAGGTACCCAAAACGACTAAATAAACGACTTTTGTACAGTTTTCCTCTGGTAAAAATAAATTTTTAAAGTAAATTAATAAAGATACCTAGATAGTTGTTTCTGTGATATAGTAACGTGACAATCACTACTAAACTATTTGACGTAATATATACAAATTAATTCTAATACGTATATACATACGAGTAAAAAGGACGTATTTAATACATATATATACACGACGTATATAATTCATTTGGGTGTACCTACAGATAAACCGTATAAATAAATTTAATATGACGGGCGCTAAACGAACGAGCGCTTACTAAAAAGTAGCACTAGGGAGATCCGAATAAAACAAATGACTAGCACGAAAGATGATCATATGTTGTATATTATAGATTTAGATAATAAATTCTTACTCGACTACAGTGACATCTAATAAAATAGAATAGAAAATATTTATTGTCAGAAAAACATAATTACAGCAAATATGTATATAAGAAGCGTTTCATATTAGACAATTAACTGGCTCAGCTGATGCTGTGAGTGTCCCAGAGCAATGTGTACGGCTGCACAGCGTTGACTTTCAGTCAGTCCCTTTCTTAACAATTTATATCTGTAATAACGTTGGTTACTTATTTACAACAACTGTTTCTTGTCGGTTCTTCGCAGCTGAAATTACATTCCGAACTGAGCAGTAGATTTATAAAAAAAGACTATTCAAAAAGGCCTATTATTAAGTTTACTTGAATAAAAGTTATTTATTATTATTATTATTATTCACGTAAGCGCAGCTGTCAGATACTTATGAATATTGCATAAATTTAGGATAATACTGTTAGAGATAACATAATACTATACTAGGTACTGTGTAAAATAAGCACAACTACAGCAAGCGGCAATTGAAGCATAGACACATCCATTACAGTCTTATTACAAAAAATTCCTTAATACATGTAATAAACCTGAAATAATTCATAAGCAAATAAACGAGCTAAAATTTAAACCAAGTGTTGAGCATTACCATAGAACAAGGTTAATAGAATATCCGGGGTGAATAGAAAAAAATTGGATAAAATTTTAAGGCCTTTATCTATGTCTATCATACTTCCTATAAGATACAAATGATATAGTCAACATTTCTATCGTTAAAGACAATGTTTATCAAATGCTAAGTATATTTCAATCTATATGAAAACAAATTTTGAAAATTATAGTGCGGAAGTGCAAAATTTTCAAGTGTTTTTTTTTTGTTGTTAATATATAATATTTCAGCCGTTTAATTTTCGCAGTACATATATATATATATTAAAGCATGTAAGTAATATATTTGTGCTTCTGATTATATAAAAGGTAATTATTATTTAAAAATAGGTAAAATAATTTATAATCGATACAATATAACTTTTCTTTTTTAAAAAAAAGGTGTGATTAGAATTATATTCGACAAAAACGAAGAAAGGGAGCGATAAAATCGCTTAAGGGCTAAAGAGACATGCGTGAGGGGTAATTAAAAATACTTACGGAGTGAAAATTTTGACATATATTTTTATATAGAAATGTTTTGATATGCCAATTATTTGACAATAACTAATTTTACATTACTTGATTATATATTCGACACAGTTTATACAGACTGTATGCATGCCGGTTGTATTTAAATTTAGTAGAGTTATACAGCCGTATAACATTTTCATACGATAACCTGCTATGAATTGACAAAAATAGCAGCTGATGGTATATCTTTCGTCCTCTTTTTACTAATTATATTTGTATAAAATGAAAGGAAGCAAACGTATGATTTACAGTTTTTATTTTATCATTCCTTGTTCTTATATTTCACGTATTAAAGTGCAATCACATTTTCGTCTTGTTTTTGTAATTGTATTGGCAGCCTATTAGTATGTAGTACGTTATATTAAGTCTATGGTTTAAAGAAATTTTTTGCTGCTAATCTATATATTATTATCTATAACTCTGTGTGTATTTGTTATTAGTATATTACTTTATTGTAGATTTTCTTTCTTTTTTCATATCTGTATTTTTGTATATGCTTCATTTTAATCAACTAAGTACTTCTACTATCGTATTAAACACGTTACAATACTCGTAACTATAACTTTTTAATGACTGTTTGTTTCAATAAATAAATAAAAAGAATAAAAAGACACGCTAAGCTTATTTTTACATATATTTAAAGAACAATATAAGATTAAAAAATAATAAAAAAAAAACGGACTTACGTATTTAAACTTGTATTGTTAAAGTGACCGTGTCTTTTTACCCTAGTCCCGAGGTGTATAGAAAACGAACACATTGAAAGAGTTCAAGAAAACAATTCAATTTAGATAAATATATATAGCCAAATTGTAAAAATCGTAATCCATGATTGTATGGCGATTAATCAATAAATTTTACTACTTTTGCAGATAAACTTAAAAAAATGTAAACAATGTCAAATTATTTTTATTCACCCCGCCTTACGTATATACACCAAGGTACTTCACGGTGCGGATGTCAACGTCAATGTCATTGTTTATTTATTTTGAAATTATAATATCGAAACCTGTATCTATCAACGCAATTTAAAATTAAATATATAATTAAATAATATTTGTATAAAAATGCCTAGATAGTAATACACAAGTATATACTCAACAAATTATTGCGTGCCCAAAAATGTGGGATATGTGAAAAGATCATGTAAGATTTGTATTATTTGATAACGAATTTAATAATAACGATAAGTTCCCGAGCACTACAATACTCAATGAGGAAAATTGTGCATGTATATCCCCATGCATAAGCAAACGTTATTAACTTATTATCTATACACACACAAACATGTGCGTTAGCGTCATATAACCAATAACCATTTATTTAATTTCAGAATTCGAGGAAATGACTTATAGTAATGTGTTTCTGTATCTACAAGTGTTGAATTATTGCAAACAAATTTTAGTTGGTTTTTAATTTTGATTACAAAATAGTGAATTTGTTTGTGAATGTGATGAATGTGCTATCAGTATGTAATAGGGTGTGGACCACTAACTATGGGCCTGGGGCAGGGGCGGTGCTACATGCTGGTGCTGGCGGCGCTGCTGGCGGGCGCGGGCAGCGCAGGCGACGACTCGCTGAGGCCGCGCTGCCCGCCCGCCGCCGGTGACGACTGCATATACACCTCCTCATCTTCATTTATAGAACATTTTTACTCCATACATGGTAAGAAACATCAGAATACAATGTAATCCTAAACACATTTGTACACTTAAGATTAGCCTCGTGTGCATTAAAAGCTGATTAGTCCAGCCAATTTAGATTGTTTTAAAAAGCCTAATGATATAATAATAATATTATTCTAACATGCAACTCAGATATAGTTTATATGTCACCAAATATTTTTATTGGGTGAATCTAACTAAAAGTATTAACTAGTACTAATAACATTATAACTGGATAGAATTTGTATATTAAGGGTTTATTGTGCATAATGCAAAAACTACTGCACCAAATTGTATGTGGTTTTCACAGTTGTGTTGCTGAAGATCTAATTTTATGTCTTATGAAATAGCAAAAAGCTAATAACTTATAAAAAATATTACAAAATATTTAATGGAGGGATCAAACTATACAGATGATGCGACTTGAATAGAATTTTGTAACTCGAACTACTCGAATAATGTTATTATGTTGCATCTAATCATATTTGAATGTTCAAGTTACTTAGACTAATGTTTGCATTGCTCACAACTCTAGTGAGATTGTTATCATGAGAATCCAAAGAAACAAGATTAGGATATGGTAGAAAAAGTAATTGAACTGAATGTTCAAAATTACTATCTTGTTGCTAGTCTCATACATTATGAGTATTATAGTTGTTTGCTTAAAAACATAACAGTTATTCATAATTAGTTGATTAGAATTGATATTTTTTAAGTCATCTATTTTCAAGTATTAATATTGACTCCACTTATCAGTGAATGGGAGAAGAAATAAAAGTTCCAAAAACAAAGATAAACTTTGTTCAAAAGTCTGTATAGGTAGAGGTACATACCTCTTGCTAATTTGTTTTAGTTTGAAGCTTGGGATATGACAGTAAAATGACAGAGTATGTAGGATAATATCTTATACATATCTCAAATATGGCAATGCATGAGGGATATCTGTAACACTAACACCAAATAGTGACAGTACCACTTTCCAGCAAGCAAGCGGTTCTGTAAATAGTACATACATGAATTTCAATATGTTAAACAATGTAATAGTTTAAAACTAATTAATCATCTGTTTTTAAATGGGCTCTTAAGTGCATCACATTGCAGTGAAGAAATGAGAATATTTCATCTCAAGATAAATATATATATAATGGTCAATTTAATTAAATGGCAAGTATATTTAATTAAGTAGTTCACTGCAGTTAACATACATTTGCACATAATTTATTTCATTCTACTGTTATACAGGGATAATAACATAAGAATTTTAACATAACAACAACTGGATTACCATATATATATTTTAGTTAAGCTTTCTTGACTGAAATAAATATTTATATCTTTACAGGTAAAAAAATTATTATAAATTTTAAAGACGGGGATTATTTCCATCTGGATTGTAAGAACACAGAACTAGACAAATTTCTATTTCCACGTTTTCCACGAGAAGTAGTGGTAGAAATGGTACAACTGGACAACTGTCTACTGTCTAATGGTAGTTATGCAGAACTATTTGTTGCACTCAATATATCCAGGCCACACGAGCTTGTGCTAAGGTATGTGACGTCACAGCTGTCATTGAAAGTGGCACGTTTTGACAACATCACTTTAGATAGACTGGATATTATGGCTCGAAGGAATGCAGCGTTGAAACTTGATACGGGTCTTCTCACCTTCTTAGATGGAGGACCTGGTAAACTACGCCTCCAAAACGTGAAGCTAGACCGGCTTCCACTAGGAATTAAAGACATACGCGTGAAGAACGGTGGCCTTACAAGCCTCCCAATAGAAGCACTCGATAGTGTGGAAAGGTTGTATTTAGAAGAACCATTCCTGAAAGACGTGAGTAACTTGTCCGAGGCACCTCGGCTACGCGAGCTCACCCTGACTGCTCCGGTAGAAGAACTACCGAGCCTTCCGCAGCTGAACAAACTAGTTGTGCAGCTGTGGCACGAGCGCCGGCCGGGTCGCCGCAGCGGCTGCGCCGCGCTGCAGGCGCTGGCCGTGAGCCAGGCGGCCGTGCGGCGCCTGCCCGACTACTGGCTCGCCAACTGTGCAAGACTACAGAATCTCACACTGCAAGAACTTACATCGTTAGAAGGACTCCCACCCGAACTACTACACAACGCCACTAATCTGACTAATTTGGTCATACAAAGTTGCAATCTTCGAGAATTGCCTGAAGACTTCTTCTCCTTCAGCTTGAATCTCCGTGTGGTCAATTTAAATAACAACAAACTGCAACACTTGCCAAGGTAATCCAATGAAACAATAAAAAAGAAAAACTTACAAATGTATTTGTATCTCATAGCTTTATCTGTTTGAATTAAAATAAATATTATTGTACATGCCCTAATTTACAAATTATACCATTTAAAAAACACGGCCTCACCAACAAATTATGTCATTTAAAAATAAGGCTCTGGTCTGCAGACGATACATAGGGGGTGCTTACCAAAGTCGACCGGACCCCTTTTTGTCATTGCTACTAGACATCTCACTGTATAGTTTAATTGTGCGATAAACAAATGTAAGCGTAATATTTCATATTTTTATGGTTAAAAAATTATGATGAGAAAATGATGAATGGTGTAATGCAACAGCAACCACGCGCTCTTCATACCGAGTCCGCTCCATCCTACAGAAATACTACAGAAAATTCTACAATATCCGCGTTTTTAAAAACTATAAGCATTCATAATTTGAATGCAAAACATTCTTTAAAGTCTTTGCTTATAATTCTAAATTCGATCTATATGGCAGGACTTATGCAATAACTAAGTATATTTTATCAGGGCCGTGCCTGGGTATATGGCCGCCTGCGTGCCAGGCTGTATGGCCGCCCCCAGGATAACATTAAAAAAAACTACTTTAATTTTTAATGTTTATTATTATACACAGGGCATCAAACCGGGAAAAAAATCAGTTTTTGGTTAACCGAAATCGGCCCAGTAAACAACTTGTAACGATTTGGCCGCCTCTTAATTTCGGCCGCCTGCGTGCGGTGCACGCAATGAACGCCCGTCAGGCACGGCCCTGTATTTTATACTTATTGACAAAATCGCACTCGCACTATAAGGAACACTGTGGTTCGTCTTTGTCTGGCGCCATGATTCTATCCGTTTAATATTTGGAATAATTATAGATATTTTTGACCCAACCTTATAAGAAAAATATTAAAAAAAGAAAGACGTGTGGCAGTCGGGGAGTGCCGCGGTAAAGCTATTGTATAGCATTTTTTATCAACTTATGCAATTTTATAATTATTATACATAATGAAGAATATACATATATATATATATATATATATATATACATATATATATACATATTGAGAATCGAAATAGAAAATTTAAACTATATGGGTGTGTGTTTATGTGTATAAAAGAGGGCTACTTTTAAAATCGCTCATTTCAAAATCCAAAATTTAGGTTATGTATTTTTTTTTTATAGCAGTATATATTATATTCATATTTAATATTAAAACACTTTATACACAAATTTTAATCGTACAGCTATTCACTGTTGGACATAGATGATAGATACCTATACACCTATATACATTCTCACAACAGCTGCTTACGTATTCGTCCAATTCCGGAGCAGCTCGCAAAAAGCACGCTGTCTCACTTAGCATTGTATCTAATAAAAGAGATAGAATCAGTTATGAGCAGTCAGCGGCTAGTCTACACGCATACGTCTACTCGCACGCACACAAACACCGTGCCGAAGTCTGCCGAACTGAAACGACGTTAGACGATGCACGGCTTCCGTCCTCGCACCGCTCTACCGCCGTAAGAGTGGGGGGTGTTAGGTTCCATTTCCGTCATTTTATTTGCACATTCCTAAGCCAATTTTTATTTATTTTTATGCTCATAATTTTTCCCGTGAATGTGAAAAATATCTATAATGACAAAAATAGATGACGTAATTTATGGATAAAGACTATGTAAATCCTGATAATATTATAAATTTCAAATTTTGTAAAAATTTATGAATGGATATTTGTTGCTCTTTCACGCTAAAACTACAGAATGGATTAGAATGAAATTTCAACATAGGTAGATCGTGAAAGAAAGAAATATTTATTTAGTGCTTATTTTCACATAAATAAACACATAATAATAAAAAAAAACACATAACAGTAAAAAAAATGAAAAACAATAAGCACTAAAATGGTGTCACTAGCTAAGTGATACGCCGCTATAGCAAGTCTAGAGCGTAGTAGCTGTGTATATCCAATTTAAGTGTGATTAAGTAACAAACATCAATATCAAAACATTTACAGTAATATTATAGTTGTATTAAAAAGTCGGTGACAATACAAACGTGATAGCGTCTTATATATTGTAATATTTCAGCAAAATTTCATCACTACAACATTTGGAAGAGCTGCACCTGTCAAATAATTTGCTGAAGCACGAGTTGGCGTCGGTGCTGAGTCCGCTGAGCTCGCTGCGCACGCTCGCGCTGTCGCGGAACCCGCTCGGCGACCTGTGCGGCGCCGCCACGCGCGCCGACGGCGCCGTCGTCGTCAGGGGTCAACTCTCTTCAATACATCATTATTTTTAAAACATTTCATTATTGTCTGCTTCCGTTATTTGGACAGGTTTCACACCCTGGATACAGTCATCATAACTTCACAGGCAACATGCCGTGGCGCCAATTCTTAATGTAACATACGTGGCTGAAACCATTCGAGTAGCGCTCGTGTATATAAATATCAAAATTATACCAAGTAACTAATGAATACATTTTCATTCAATTTCTGGGGTGAGTTATTTTTTATGTGATGGGATACATCGTCTGAGCTAAAAGCATCTGAAATGAGAAGCCAATTGCTCTAGACGGTGTCCAATCTATTGTTAGTCCGTTATCCAACTTGGCTCAACCTGTCATTATAATTATTTTTATGCCCTATAGAAAGTGCAGTAAGTGTATATTTTCGTTTTATTCATAGACCGTTCTCAATTGGCGCTAATGGAAAAATTGGAGGTACTGGAACTAAAAAAAGTGAACGCAACCCGACTCTGCAACGACTGGGTGGAGGGCATGCCCCGCCTGCGTCGCCTAGACCTCTCCCACAACAACATCACCCAACTAAAGGTATACTAACTTATTCACAAACAGTTCACTAACGTACAAATACTTAATATTGCAGAAAATATTTTTTAGAAATATCTATCATGTCTATTAAGTTTTCTTCAGGGTCGGCAACGCGCACGTGACATCCCTGGTATAGGCTACAGTTACTATCTACCATTTTTATGGTATAAATGGTTATGGTCAAAATCACACGGACAATAAAATTTTAGATAACAAATAAGAATAAAAATGCATGTAGAAGTGATTATTTTCTTAGAATTATTTTATTTATTTCCGCTACCATTAGTATGTGTGTGCCTGCCAACATTTGAAGATTGATTACCGTTATTATTAACAGCAGGTCTACAACCTTGCATATTAGCCATCAAACTCGACTGTCATTTCGTCCACGCACATATCTTTTTGTATAGTTAAGCATAATTATACAAAAAGAAAGAAAGAAACCGTTCAGGCAGCGCACTCCATATTATAGAATTTCTCCTGTCTTTATTGTGATTAATTATTGAAAATGTATACTTACCAAAATAAAAAGTATCCTATAGCACTCAGGGTTAATATTTTATAGCCTTTCTTACAGTGAAAAAAGATTTTTTTTTTATCGGATCAATGGTACCGAAGATTACCCCGAACACCGAAACTTACAAAAAAAAATTACTTCTTTCTAATAGAAGTATAGGCGACGCGCCCTGGTTTGGTGCGAGTGGAGTGTAGAAACAATGTGTAGCCAGTGTGGAGTGATACATAATTTATTTATTTATACTTTTGCACTCATTAAAATATGTGTACAGGGCGGACCTAATGCCTGATGGCATTGTTTGGGTGTGGATGGCAGTGATTAGTAATATTACTATTGTATCTGTCTAAATAGGTTTCCGAACTATATAATTTTTTTTTTAAACATTAAAATGGTTATAGAAAGCTATCTGTATAATACTGTCATTGTCTTCATACATAATCTAGAGAACCATGCTTGGCTAAGGATGGTGACTACCGCCGCCCATGATCACCCACAACACCAACGGCAATGCAGGTGTGCTGCCGGCCTTTTAAAAAGGAATATACTCTTTTCTTGAAGGTTATGTTGTCGTATCGGTTCGGAAATACTGCTGCTGGAAGTTGATTCCAAGGGTGGTTGTGCATGGAAGAAAGTGCCTTGAAAAACGCACGGTGGAAGACCGCCACTCCTCCAAATGATTGGAATGAAACTTTAGTTTGTGGCGGGTTGTACGGTGGTGAAAATCAGCAGCAGGTATCAATCCGAACAATTCCTCAGAACACTCCCCATGATAAATTCGGTAGAAGATGCACAGAGATACAACATCTCTGCGCAGTTTCAGTGGGTCAAGTCGGACAGTAAGGCGTTGACTATCAATAATTCGAGCCGCTCGACTTTGAATGCGGTCTAACGGAAGGAATTGGTACTGTGGCGCTCCTGCCCATAAGTGAGAACAGTTTTCCATATGCGGCCTGACTTGAGCTTTATATAATTTCAGGCAGTATTCGGGCATAAAATACCGTCTCACCCTATTGAGCACCCCTAACTTTTTTTTTTTTGGAAGCTGTCTTAGCCTTCTCCTCCAGATGACAGCAAAACTGGACGTCGCAAGATATATCAACGCCCAGAATTCCTAGACTCGACTTTTTATCAAGGGAAGTGCCCTGAAAGTGAGGAGATACGACAAACGGCGTCTTTTTTGCGGTGAAGTGGTCGGAAAGGTCATCATCCTGCTTCAGTGACGGTTCGGTTTGGTGGGAAATTTAGTTCCCACTGCTTGGACAGTTTCCACTAGCTTATCGCTGATATTGTCCGTTGTTTTACAATTCAAATTTTTTTTTACGATATTATACTTTAAACGTTTATGTTATTGTTTCAGTATTTCTGTATTATAACATTTAACGAGATAAATGTTCTATCGAAAATATTTTGTACAAGAATTAAATAAAAATCTAGTCTTTTTGGTCATGCTGAAATTCTCGAATCGGGAACGTCTCTCTCTACATCGGGCTCGAGGTGGAGAAATGCTGGAAATAGAGCCGATTAGACCGTAACGTTTTCCTTCTACTCTTTCAGTACAACGATCTCCAGGTCCGCCGGCGAGATCCGGCCGCGTCGATCGTGATTCTCGAGCACAACCCAATCGAGACGATCGAGTACGACCGTCGCGACTACGACTGCGTCCTGGCCGGGCCCACTCGGAGGGTAAAAATAATAATATACTTTTGGGTCGGTCTCCGCCTCGCGAAAAAGCGGAGGGGCCGAGTGACCGGTCAATGGCCCGCAGGTGGCACGCGTGCTGATCGACTCGCGGCTGCGCTGCGACTGCGAACTATTCTACTTCGCGCTGGCGCTGCGCGCGCGCCCCGAGCACGTGGCCGTGGGCGAGCTGCGCTGCGAGGACGGCGCGCCGCTGGCCGCGCGCGAGCCCCGCGAGCTGGCGTGCGAGCTGCCGGCGGCCGCGTGCTGGCCCGGCTGCGCCTGCCGCGTGCGGCCCGCGCCGGCCGCGGCGGCCGGCCTCGCGCTGCAGGCGCGCTGCACCGCCGCCGCGCTGCCGCTGCGGCCGGCGCGCGCGCTCGACGAGCTGAGCGTGCGCGGCGCGGGGCTGGCGCGGCTGCCGGCGGCGCGCGACCTGCCGCGCGGGCTGCGGCTGCTGGACGCGCGCGACAACCGGTTGACGGGCGCCGACCGCGACGCGGCCGCGGCGCTGCTGGCAGCCGTGCGCGTGCTGCGCCTGGCCGGCAACCCTCTGCGCTGCTCGTGCGGCGAGCGCGACTTGGTGGACGTGCTGCTCGAGAACTCCGACCGGGTATGTACGCCGCCGCGCCTCCTTTTTTTTTTTTTTTTTTTTTTTTTTTTTTTTTTTTTTTTTTTTTTTTTTTATGAAAATCTTATTATGAAAATTATTATTTTTCTACAAATAATATTTAAACACGCCACAATCATAATAAATGAAAACGAATACCCATTGCATTTTTATGTATACTCAAACTACAGCTCTTCTATCTATTATTAATCTAAATGTTAGTCGTTCCCATTTTTTTTTTTTTTTTTTTTTTTTTTTCTAATCCTTGAATTTCGAGGTCGATGCCCGAACGGTTGTCTGTCTTAGTAGGGTCATTTTAAAGAAGCATTTTGCATCTCTGTCCGTGTGATTGATATGAATTAGTCGACTGAGATGTAATTCTTGGTTTAGGTTACTATGAAACCGACCCGTCTACAGAATTCCATTCGGGTCAGTTCAGTAGTTGTTTCGAAAATATGGTACGTGGCCTCGTTCGGGCGCACTTGTCGTGGGCGCTCGGCGGCCGCCAGCAGGTACTAGAGGTGCGGTGGCCGCAGGTGGAGGGGCTGAGCAACACCACGTGCGACGACGGGCGGCCCGTGCGGCCCGCGGCGTGCGGCGCCCGCGGCCCGGCCGGCCTCGCGCTCGCGCTGGGCGGCGCCGTGCTCGCGGCCGCCGCGCTCGCCGCGCTGCTCGCGCTCGCCGGCTGCCGCGAGCGGCTCGCGCGGTGGCTCGCGGAGCGCGGCGTGCGGCCCTGCTGGCCGGCCGCCGGCGACGAGGAGGAGGACGACGAGGACCGGCCGTACGACGCGTTCGTGTCGTACGCGCACGCGGACGAGCGGTTCGTGGTGGAGGAGCTGGTGGCGCGGCTGGAGGCGGGCCCGCGGCCGTACCGGCTGTGCCTGCACTACCGCGACTGGGCGGTGGGCGGCTGGATCCCGGCGCAGATCGCGGCGTCGGTGCGGCGGTCGCGGCGCACGCTGGTGGTGGTGTCGCGCCACTTCGTGCGCTCGGCGTGGGCGCGCGCCGAGTTCCGCGAGGCGCACGCGGCGGCGCTGCGCTCGGCGCGGCCGCGGCTGCTGGCCGTGCTGCTGGCGCCGCCGCGCGCGCTGCACGCGCTGCCCGCGCCCGAGCTGCGCCGCTACCTGGCCGCCGCCACCTACCTGCGCTGGGGCGAGCCGCGCTTCTGGGACCGCCTGCGCGCCGCGCTGCCGCCGCCGCGCGCGCCGCCACCACCACCAGCACCGCCGGCACCGCCAGCACCACCCGCCGCCCCGCCGGCCGCCTGAACCGTCGCAGTCAACGGCGGCCAGAACTATACGATATGTCCTCGCGAGAACCTCGCTCGATATACTACCTGAACCACTTCCTTTGACTACACGACTGTGCAGCTGCTCCTACTGATTGTGACGAGTGATTTGTTGTGTGTGGCGATGGCGACTGTACAGCTCTCTGTTATTACATAGTTATTATTTTATCGACAATCACTAATTGCAGATGTGCCGTAACATAACGCCAAAGTATAAATACCTTTGTATTATATGCCTATGTTTTTTTTTTTTTTATTAAAATGCCATTATATTTTTTATTATTATAAAAAATGCCATTAACTTAAAAACATTGTAATTTTTTTTTTTTTAACTTAAGAAATTAAGGGAAATATTGCCTTTTTATAAATGCAATTTAGATTTCGCGCCAAAACGTTAAAACAGCAATGACATCGCCTGTGACGTTAACCTGTCGTAAAACTTGACAAGAGACTAGTTGTTGAAAGTTTTTTTTTTTTTTTTTCAAGATTTTGATACAATAATCATGAAACTCAATGTATTTCGATGGCGTGTGGTCCCCAAATGTACTAATACAACGATAAAAACGCTGAACAAGTTATTTATTAACATTTAAGGGAGTTTAATGTGTCAAAGCTTCATGCATGTCTTAATACAAGTCTTATTAAAGTTCTTGATGACATTATTGTGATTGCATGCGCTTTTATATATTTACAAGGTTCACTCATTAAATAAAACTATGTATAACACTATAATTTGTGCATTTTATTTACATCTGTACAACTTACAATTTTTTTTTTTTTTAACTAAAACAGAATTTTACATTTGTTATATTTTTCAATGGGTTTGCAATTCTTAACATAACGTCGATGAATTTTTGTACTTGAGGCACACTTAATCTCAATAATGTGATCCTCACAAATCCGGTGAACCTGCTATCATTGGATACTCTTCGGACAGCATGAGCCCATACTTTGAAATTTACTTGCGTAACTTATACTGACAGGTTTTCTCACTTAATCTTTTAATAACCTACCATGTTTCATGGCCAATGGAATCTGGGCTATAAGAGTCCGATCACTCATTTTACAACGGCTTTTTTTTTTACACTTTATTCAAATGCTCTATTGTTTGATGGTAAGCTAGTTTTTTTTTTTTTTATTTTATTTTTTTTTTTTACATGTACTTTGTTGACATATACTTCAAGCTAGCTCGAACTTAGGACAGTTTTGACTTGATAATTTTTTTTTTCAGTAACATTCCACAGCTGTCTCTGCATTTTTTTTTTTTTTTGTATCTCCATGCATACAGCAATGCTATATAATGCTTGCAGCCTCCTTGAGAAGCTTCGTAGAACGTACAGTCGTTATATTCTATAGCAACAACAGCTTCCTTTTCATCTACTATTAATATGACACAACATACAACTTGGCATGAACCTTAAGCTCAGGACAAATTTTACACTACACTATACAATTTCCCTTCACGTCTAAGCTGTGCGTAGCTCACAGCGTCATCACCATATGGTCGTGAAGATCTAAAACAAAAAAGTATTATTTATATAACCTCAAAATAAAATATACCCTCACAATAAAAATTGTGTAGGTATTTAATGGTAATATATATATATATATATATATATATATATATATATATATATATATAATTATTATTATTATTATTATTACGGTTTATTCAACAACAAGTCCTTACATAGAAGTTTTTTTTTTTTTTTTTTTTTTTTACATTTTGTAATGTAGTCGAGCAAAGTCATTGTTGCAAAAAATGCTGCCAGCATCAACAAGTTTATTCTTGGCAAATTTGAACTATCGACCTTGATAAATCCTCGTTCCGTGATGGTTGTACTTTCGTTGTTTAGGTTTTATCAACAATATGATGAGTTTAATTTTAAAATAGCGCGCAACAACTTTGTGAGAACTTTGTATAGTACTTTGTATGACAAACAAAATGGATGACTGACATTTATTTACGAAAGGGTGACGTCACACGCTCCTGATTAGCTTTCGATCTATCATGGTGGACTGATATGTTTTGCATTTTTATTTTTACTAAAATAAATATAATCTGGCTTGTAATCTAAAAACAAATGTTTAAATATGAATCAGCCTATCATAGAAAATTACGTGAAATCGTGATATCGGCCATTCTTAGTTAGTGACATCATATTGTTAATAATACCGTAATACAGTGATAATACAGTTGTAATTGAAATATGTAAATGCCTGATGTTATTAATGTAGAGTGCCTCTACTATCGGAGTCGACAGGCGAAATGGTCACTATGTTCACAATTTTTTTTTTTTTTTTATTTATTTATTTTTTTCTTTTTTTTGCGACCTTAGGCAGACTTGTCGCGTTTAATAATAGCATTGAGTTTGTAAATACCATATGTAAGTGTTACCATGTACTGAAAAATCATTGTGTTTTTATATTCTAATGTATGTACCGATATCATTGTTACTATCTCTAATATTGTTCATTGATGTAGATTATTAATCGGCGTAGGACTGTTACAATATGTCCAGCAATATGTAATTAGATTGTTAATCGTCCTAATTAATAAAAATATTGTTGTGCCTCGGTACACTTCTTGGTACCATTTTACACTAGGTCCATTTTTTGAATATTTTTATACTGTAAATACTGTTATACATTCCGCAAATGTACATAGTTTGTTAAATAATAAAGAAGTCTATTATAAATTGCCTTTTTTTTTTTTATTGTACTAAAAAAATATTTTCTACAAATAATGTATGCATAAATAAAACAACGTTTGCCGGGTCAGCTAACTAGTTACATTATATTATGAAAAGTTGTAACAGTCTATGATCGTGGATTGAACTACGACCGTGAAGAGTACGCTTGAACGCGCCCGTCATACCTATCATGTGTTTCAATAGATACACCTACGGGCTGCTGCTGCTCTTACTGGGCAAATTTTTTTTTTTTTTATTTTTTTTTTTATATTCGGTACGATACAACAAAAGGAAGTTGATATAACATAAGCTTTTATGTCGTCTCCTTGTAGGACAACGTTAATTTGTCGGGTATAATTTTCGGTCACCGTTCACTTTATTAGTCATGAATTATTAGTTATTCCAAGTACAGTTATAACTTAGACTGCATGGAAAAATGAATCAATCAATCTAGGTCTTCTTGCCCGCCTTTAATAGTGTAGGCGGGTGAGGTAGGGGTCTCGGGGTAAACCCCTTTACCCCGGCTGCATCTCCGGAGGCAACTACCTCCGGGTCGCTGGGTTCTTGAGCCGGCATACACTGGTGGTTTGTGTATGCCGGCGTGGTGTCTTCTTGTTGTGGCCTCTTCTTCTTTCTTGATATATAATATATATGTGTATATATTTTTTTTTTCCATTTTTTATAATATATAATGTTTTTTTTTCTTTTTTTTTTTTTTAATAATTGTAATTCTCCCCTCTCGCCCGTTCCCAGATATATATAATAGATGTTAATAATAAATACAGTTGTTAGTAAGGGTCGACACAAGAAGTGTGTCGGCCCTCCCCCCGCTTGGACGCGGGGGATATAATTACACACTTGGAACGGGCGAGAGGAGGGAATGAGAAAGAAGAAGGGAAATGGGGAAAAAGGGTAGGTAAGTCGTCGTACTGGTAGACGAGGCAATCACGATCACTATTCGCCTGTGCACAGGAGGTCCCTAGGCGTGGGACGGCCGTCCGGTGGACGCGCATGCAGCGGCGCGAGGCCCCTCAAGTGTTGATGGTGTCCGTTGTCGGCACGGGCGAACATTTTGCTCGCCATGTCGACAACGAACTCCTCCACCGTTGGGACCCCTAAGCCGCGGGCGATAACGTCGTTACGGACGTATCTGCCCGCTCCCGTGCACAAACGGAGTGCGATGTTCTGCTGGGCCTGCAGCCGGCGCCTAAGCGTCGGAGAGCACAGTGCATACCAAGCGGGTGCGGCATATGTTAACCGTGAACGGACGTAGGTCTTATAGATAGAGACCCGCGTCCGTAACGGCAACCTGGAAGTTAGCACCGGTCGGAGATAGGCGCGCGCCGCGCGAGCCTGCGCTATGGCACGCGACACCTGCGGCACCATTCTCAACGACCGGTCGATGTCGACCCCTAGGTATCGCACGGTGCTCTCCCACGCGATTTCCTTATTAAGGAGCCTTAAGGGCGGCGGCGGTGCTGTACGACTACGGCGGACAAGTAGCGCGACCGTTTTGTCAACATTGACGGCCATGCGCCACCCGTCCAACCACTCCGGCAGCAGGTCCAGTTGCCGCTGCATTTGAGCGGCGGCTCTCGTCTTCCAGTACGACGACGTGAAAAATCCCGTGTCGTCGGCAAACAGAGCGAGCATGACATCCCGTTCCAGGGCCAGTGTAAAGGGCTGGCTGTCCAGGACAGGGATGTCATTCGTGTACAGCGCGTAGAGCGCCGGGGAAATGCAGCTACCTTGTGGAACTCCGGCGGCCACTGGGCGGGTGTCGGAGCGCGCGTCCTCCACCGAAACGAAGAAGCTACGGCCCCTGAGAAACGACGCCACCAGTCGCACATACGCGGGCGGCGTGCTGGTATATTGTAATAATTTATATACTAGGCCGTCGTGCCAAACACGGTCGAATGCCTTTTCGATGTCTAAGAAGACACCGACCACCACTCGACCGTGGTTGCGCTCGGCGGCCAGGTGGTGCAGCACGCGCGCCAGCTGCAGAGTGGTCGAATGCCCCGACCGAAAGCCGAACTGTTCGCTCCTAGGAGTGAAATGTTCGGCCATCCGTCGGAGCAGCAACCTCTCAAACAGTTTAGCTATGTGCGCCAGTAGCGTGATAGGGCGGTAGCTTCCTGGCAAACGGCGATCCTTGCCCGGTTTGGGGAGGACGATCACTCTACCCAGTTTCCAGGACTCTGGAAAATGGCCTGTGCGGAGGATTCCATTAAAGAGCCTGGTGTGCGCCACCAGGCACCTTCGCGGCAGCTGCATTAACTCGGCGTTGGAAATTCCATCGGGACCCGGCGCCTTCCTCCTGGGGAGGCGCTCCACGGTCCTCCGCAGCTCAGCAGGTGAGATGAATTCGACACCCGCGAGCGGCGGGGACTCGCCCGATAGGAATTCCTCTACGCGCCGTGTCACTCGCTCGTGGTGCTCGACGACAGTAGGATCTGTGGGAACGGCAAGGGGATGGGGCTGGAATTGCCCCTGTAGGTGGTTGGCTAGAATGTCTGCCCTGTCCTTGGCTGCGTACCTTCGTGTGCCCGTCGCGTCTAGCAACGGACACACGGGTGGTGGCCGTGTTGACAACTGTCGGCAGAGCCGGTGCAGGTTGGTGTCGTGATCGGTCGCCTGTTCGATCAAATTGTCCCAGGCGGCCCCACGCCACACCCGCACCCCCTCCGACAGTTGTGCAGCCAAACAGTTGAGATCGCGCTTGACGCGCGGACAACGCGTGCACGCCCATAGGCGACGAAGACGGCGCTTCTGTGCGAGCATTTCGTATAGGTCGACGGGTAATTTCTCGCGGCGGCGAGACGCGCCCGCCGCTCCCGAGGGGGTATGGGCGACCGTTGCCGCCTCCTTGGCGGCCACTATGGCGGCCGTGATGGCCGTGGAGGCGTCCTCGATCGCCTCAGGAGTGGCGAGCTCGCCGCTGAGGGAGTACCCGTTGAGCTCGCGTTGAAACGCCGTCCAGTCTATCCTCCTACTGGGGCGCGACGCTGGAACGAACGTGGCCGCTACGTCAAGCGCGATCAATACCGGGAGGTGAGACGTATTCAAATCGTACAACACCTCCAGGTTGATGGGACAGGGGACATTCTTAGCCAACACTATATCCAGGACGTCAGATGTGTACCTGGGATTGGTTGGGACATGAGTGGGTGAGGAGGGACCTAGGATTTCATAACCGCCGCTCTCGGCATCATGAAACAGCCACAAACCGTCCCTCGTTACGCGGGACGACCCCCACGCGGTGTGTTTCGCGTTGAGGTCGGCCGCCAGAATGGTCGGCTTGTCGCTGTCCATGATGGCTCGAATATCATTCGAGCAAAAGCGAGCGGCGGGTGGACGATAGCCTGCAAACAGGCGGACCTCTACCCCCCCCCCCCGCATTCAACGCTACACCGTTGGAACGCAGGGAACGATATTCAGTGTGCCCAATCTCCGTGTGGACGACATCCCTCCGGACAAGAACCGCCGTACCACGGTACCGCACTCCCGCCGGAGAGACCTCGTCCCGCCTATACACGTGATAATTAGGCACACTGAAATCGATATGTGGGGCTAGCTTAGTTTCACCCAGCAGAATGACATGTAAGTCCTGCTGCTGGGCGAAGAGTCGGAGGTCGCCTGCTTTGTCGGCGACTCCCCCGGGATTCCAATAGGCGATACGAAGTTCAACCGCGCCCGTGTAGCCTTTCCAACGAGGCGATCCGCCGAGCGCGGCCGACTTAATGTCCGACCCGGTCGCGAGCGCCTTTAGGAAATCGGTTAGCAAACCCAATACTAAAAGTAATGGGTCTGCAACCGACATCTCAGGCGTGCTCGCGGCCGTCGTCGGAAGGAATCCGTGGGGACGCCTTGCGTGGCTAGGGAGCGAGGGGGGCACACATCCGACGTCCTGGTTATTACTACTGACTATTTGGTTAATAAAATTATTTCTTATCTCTATGGGTTCCGCTTCGACGCCTTGGTTAGGCGTCGACTCGGCGCGCCGTCCGCGTCGCCTGCGGCCGCGGCGCTTCTTGGTGCCCACTGGAGCGCCGCGGGCCGTCGGTGGGTTGGCAGGTGTGGCGAGTGTCGCCCCTGCCGACGCCGACGCTGGTGGTGCTCCGCCTCCGTGCCCGGCCGGCTCGTGCCGCACCGGCGCGGGTTGGGTGGCGGAGGGCAGTTGTGTCGCACTATGTGCGACTGTGGGCGCAGTATGGCGGGTCGTATGGGTGAGGGGCGCCCTCGTGCGC